CCCCCCCCCTCCCCCCCCCCCCCCCCCCCCCCCGTCTCCCCAGGCAGGCTCAGGGCTGGAGCCTGAGGTTCTTCCCCAGCCGCAGGTGACTTGTGCCTCATGTCCCAGCAGCTCTGTCAGCCCACGGCACGAGAGCACTGCAGGCCGCCCAGAGGAGCGCCCAGTGGACAGTTAATCGAGTGTCGATGGAGATTCGACACAGACTGCATGAGTGCGGCGGCTGTGCCAACCATACCATCCCGTGCCCGGGTGAGCTTGCCCTGACTACCCTGGGCCCGACCTCCTGTCCATCCCATCCCTTCCCTTCACACGTGACTCCCTCTTGGAGACAGAGACTAGGTGGGGCTGCCACCTAGACAATGCTGATGAAGGTCTTGCCAAGAAGAAAGGGCACGCCAGGCCTGGGACATAGTCCGTGCAAAGGCAGGAGGACAGGAAGAGTCTGGGCTCATTGGGTGGACAGTGAGAAATTCATGGTGAAATAGACCCTGGCTGCTGGGGGTGGACAAACAGAGGGGAGCGGTAGGGCAGAGAGAGGGCCCAGGCTCGGCCTGGGGTGCAGGAGGGGTGGGAGGCCAGCCATGAGGCTCAGAGGTCTGTGTCTCAGCAGGCGCTGGGCATCCCAGGCCTCTGGCCCCCCTCCTCCAGGATCCAGCAGAGCCAGGTAGGGCTGAAAGGGCTCCAGGGGGCAGGGCCAAGGGAAGGGTGTACCCTGGAAGGGCCTCGAGGGTGAGGGGGCCAGGACTTGTCCCCTGTGACGCCCATGCCACCTTTCTAGGGCCTTGTGGCGAGAGGCGCCCAAGCGCTGTCAACGTGACACGGGCCCACGGCCGCATTGTTGGGGGCAGCGCAGCTCCGCCCGGAGCCTGGCCCTGGCTGGTGAGGCTGCAGCTCGGAGGGCAGCCTCTGTGTGGCGGCGTCCTGGTGGCGGCGTCCTGGGTGCTCACCGCGGCGCACTGCTTCGCGGGGTACGTTGGACCCCAGGCCCTTGACCAGCCCACACCCCCAGTGCGCGGTGGGTCGTCTGGCGGGCGACACAGGCGAGGGCCGGTCTCTGCTGCCCCCTGGCGGCGGTCACCGCCTTGCCCTGCCCCCGGCCTCAAGGCGCCCTCTCCGCCCAGCCTGGGTGAGGATTATCTGGGAACGCCCGGCTGGGCTAGGCTCCTAGACTTACTGGGGGGCCCTACCTCTCCCCCGCCCACCTTCCCTGCCCGGCGAGAAGGAGCGGAGACACAGAGATCCCGGCGTGCGGGCCTGCTGAGTGGTGCCCGTGGGCAGAGGGCAGGGTCTCAGGGGACTCGCCCCTTGTCCCGCAGTGCCCAGAACGAGCTTCTGTGGACAGTGACGCTAGCCGAGGGGCCCCAGGGGGAGCAAGCTGAGGAGGTGCCGGTGAACCGCATCTTGCCGCACCCCAAGGTGAGAGGGCAGACCCCAGGCTCTCAGAGTGGGGAACAGCACCCCCACCCCACACTTCATCACTATTGCGCGGCCACTCCCTCCGCAGTTTGACCCGCGGACCTTCCACAACGACCTGGCCCTGGTGCAGCTGTGGACGCCCGTGAGCCCGGCCGGGGCGTGGCGCCCTGTGTGCCTGCCCCAGGGGCCCCGGGAACCCCCAGCCGGCACCGCTTGCGCTATCGCGGGCTGGGGGGCCCTCTTCGAAGGTATGGGGCTGCTTCCAGTGTGAGTGCGAAGAATGGGGGGTTAGGGTGATGGAGTTGGGGAAGGCCGGGTGTAGGGAATCTGACCCCCCCCCCCCATCACCTTTGCGAAATACTGTCTGATCTTGCAAAGGGGGAGGAATCAAGGAGGGTAGTGGGAGGAGGGACCTGCTAGCAAGGCCCCAGCCCTCCAGGCCTGAGCTCCCTCCACCGATTCCCTGTAGATGGGCCTGAGGCGGAGGCGGTGAGAGAGGCAAGAGTGCCCCTGCTCAGCACTGACACCTGCAAAAGGGCCCTGGGGCCCGAGCTGCACCCCAGCAGCATGCTATGTGCTGGCTACCTGGCCGGGGGCGTGGACTCCTGCCAGGTAGGAGCCCTGATTGATGTTAGGGTGCTGAGCAGGCTGCTCCCCAGGGACAGGACGGCTTCTTTCCTTCCGCAGTCGGCTGTCATTCAACTTGTCTGAGCTTTCATGTCCCCACCACTAAAAGGGGGTACAAGGGTAGAATCCCCAGAACTCAGAGCTGTCCCACCCTGCTAAGTGTCGGGCTGGCAGAGGAGAGGGGCAGGTCGATGAAGTACTCTCTCTTTTGGCTTGGGTCCCGCAGGGTGACTCTGGAGGCCCCCTGACCTGTTCTGAGCCTGGGCCCCACCCCAGGGAGGTCCTGTATGGAGTCACCTCCTGGGGGGATGGATGCGGAGAGCCAGGGAAGCCTGGGGTCTACACTCGTGTGGCCGTGTTCAAAGACTGGCTCCAGGAACAGATGAGTGGTGAGTGCCGCGTTCCTATTCACCTCTCCCCGAAGTGCCCTGCTCACAGCCCTTGGGACAAGCCCCTCTACATCCCACCGGCCCCCAGCCCCTTACTGCGTGGGGAAAGCCTGTCCTCCCTTCGGGGAAGAGCTGCAAGGGCTAAGGTCCAAAGCCGGGGCTGAATTGGCCGCCGCTGCCCCCCATCCCTACCCCCCGCAGCAACCCCCTCCAGCCGGGAGCCCAGTTGCAGGGAGCTGCTGTCCTGGGAGCCGCCCGGGGAGCCGCCGGCAGACGCCGCCCCGCCCTGCGCCTTCTACGCCCGCCTGTGCCCGGGGCCCGAGGCCGCCTGCGCGCGTCTGGCGCACCAGCAGTGCCTGCAGCGCCGAAGGAGATGCGGTGAGTCCAGTTCCCAGGGCTGGGCCGGCGGACAGGGGGCCTGACCCAGGTCTGACCGCCTCTCGGACCCTTGTCCCGCCCGCAGAGCTGCGCTCGCTGGCGCACACCCTGCTGGGCCTGCTGCGGGGCGCTCAGGAACTGCTTGGCCCGAGCCCAGGGATGCGGCGCCTGGCCCCCACCCTGGCTCGTCCGGCTCTGTCGCTCCTGGAGCCTCGCAGACACCCCGCCCGCGAGCAGCGGCTGCACCCAGGTACCCCGCGCCTTCACACTCCAGCCCCAGCACCCCCTGCCACCAACTGCGCGGAGGAGGCGATCCCCTAACGCTGCGTCTCCCCAGGATCGCGGGCTGCGGGCGCTCGATTCCCGAAGCGGAGGCCGGAGCAGCGCGTGGAAGCGAACGGTAATGACGCCCCCTGCGGGCCTTTGCCGGGAGAGTAGCAGGCCAAGGGCTGGCGATGGGCTTCGTGGGACAACCGGCAGACTGGCTCTCCCCACCTGAGCCCCCGCCCCCCCTCCCCGCAGTAGGGAGGATGACTCTTTGGGGGTTCAGTTCAGCAGAGACCATCTGCTTTTGTTATCACTTAACCTCTCTGATCCTCAGTTTCCCATCTGTAGCACGAGGAGAAATCTGCCCCCTGGGAGGCGGTCCACTGAGGTCCTTGTGGGAATCCCACCCCGGCTCCTTTCCGGTGCGTTTACTGCTGTTCCCAGGACCTCTCCCCTTCCTGCAGGTTGCCCTGGGCTGGAGAGTCTGCAACAGAAGTTGACCACCCTTCAAGGCACCCATGCCTGGATCCTGCAGGTCCCAGCAGAGCACTTGGCCATGGACTTCCACGAGGTAGGTCGTCAGTCTTCCCACATTCACTCAAAGTGGCCTCAGAAGGCTAACCTGGGTCAGCCCTGATGAGTAGGGGGACAGAAGGGGCACCCTCCACAGCAGGAGGGAGGACCTGCTCCCCAGCAACTTGGGGTGGAGGCGGGGGGGTGTCTTGGGAGAAAGGGGCAGGGAGGGCATCTGCGTGTAAGCTGGGGTGCTGGGTGGATGTGAAGGTGTGGGGGGAGGTGTGAGTAGAAGGGCACGTGGGGGTGTCCAAGTGAGCAGGAAGTGTGCAGGATTGGGAGGGTATGGGGGGGAGTGGATCTGGGTGAGAGTTTCTGGGGGCCCGGAGGAGGCAGACCAAGAGCTGGGTTGTGGGACCCTGAGCTCCCTCCTCCTTCTTCAGGTCCTGGCCGATCTGGGCTCCAAGACGCTGACCGGCCTCTTCCGAGCCTGGGTGCGGGCAGGCTTGGGGGGCCAACATGTGGTCTTCGGGGGCCTGGTAGGCCTGGAGCCAGCCACGATGGCTCGCAGCCTCCCCCGCTTGCTGGTGCAGGCCCTGCAGGCCTTCCGTTTGGCCGCACTGGGAGAGGCAGAGGGACCCCGGATGGGTGCAAGGCAGAGCCAGGGGCTGGGGAGGAAGGGGCACCCCCCACTCAGTCCTCAGATTTCCCCAGCCAGGAGGCCATGAACCAACCCTTGGTCAAGACCTACCCCTCCAAGGGGCTCCTGTGATAACAATATGTCCCAGCCACAGTTGATTGGGTGTGGGGGGCGGGGGGCCTGGGTCCATGTGTCTTCCCAGATATGTCATCAGAAAATCCCGGCTGCTTTAATAAACGTTATTTATGATCTACAGCAATAACTCTGGAGCTTTCTTGGGATGAGAACTGGGTGGGTGAACATTAGGGCCAAGGAGGACCCAGCCTCCAGTAGCAGTTGGCAGAGGTCACAAAGACACAAAGACACACTGGAGAGAGGCTGCTAAGTCCCCATTTCCGCATACATGTCTGCTCCTCAAGAAATGGCAACAGCTGACCTGTCACCACTCCCCTCCCTGTGGATGGCCAGAGCTGCCCCCAGAATCCAGTGCCTCTACCCAGCCCCCACCCCTACTGCTAGTAGTGGGAAGTTCCAGCCTCCTGTCCTTGGGCTCCTGCCTGGCGGCCAGTCCCCATCCCCACCCCCTCAGCACCTGCCTTGGGTTTTATACCCGGAGCCATGCCCAGACGTGTCAGATTGCATTTCCGGGCTGCCACTTCCCTTTGCACATGACCCCCCCCCTCCCCACACCTGTCCCCTTTCCTACCCACCCACATTCCCCAGCCCTGTAGACTGAAGGGGCAGCCACGAGACCCAGTCAGAGGGACAGGATGGAGGGACCCGGGTTGACGCTGGGGCTGCTGGCTATGCTGGTTGTTTGTGGTAAGAGCAGACATCACCCCATCCTGAAGGGCCCTCAGGACTCACACCAGGGCCCCTACTGCATGGTCCCCTCCTACCCTACTTACCTGATTCTCCCTCCCTTAGCATCGGGCCCAACCTCCCACCCCCACTGCTATTTCTCCCTGGAGGGGCAGGAGTGGTGGGACCCCCCTGCTGAGCCCAGCCCCATGGCCCAGCAGGATTTCAGGGCAGCTCCCTTCCTGTCCATCCCTGCCCTGCACCCCACCCATCCCCAGGTAGCTGGGCCCTGAACGAGGAGGAGCGGCTAATTCGGCACCTGTTCGAAGAGAAAGGCTACAACAAGGAGCTCCGGCCGGCACACCAGGGAGAGAGTGTAGACATCACGCTGGCCCTCACACTCTCCAACCTCATCTCCCTGGTGAGACCCCCTCTGTGGCCGGGCTGGGGACGGGAGGGCAGGGACAGCTCTTGGGAGGCCTGCCTGTCTCCCGGACTGGGATGACCAGGAAGGAAGTTCAAGGCCCCAGCCTGGACTATGGTAGTTCCTGTCCCAGGGAAGCAGGCTCCAGTGTTCTGCACGCTCAATGCTGCCACAAGCTTTGGCCTGATCCCCCTTTCCCCCCCAGCTTCAGCTCTGGGGTGTGCCCCATATCAGACCCATGATACACTTCAGAGGCCATGCGCTGTCCCTGCTCCTGGGTCTGCCCACCCCCTAGTGACTGTGAATGCTTGTGGCAGGTGTCTGATTAGGCCAATTGCCATGGTTTCCCCTGGGTGGCGGCTGGGAGTAGGTGCTTGGTGAATGTACATAGGTGGAAGAACCATGCGGGCCCTGGGGGACAGCCGTCTCGTGTGTGATTACAGAAAGAAGTGGAGGAGACCCTCACCACTAATGTGTGGATTGAGCACGTAAGAATAGCCCGCTCAGTGCTGGGGTGTGGGGGTGAGGGTGTAAGGCCCAGGCTTCCCTGTGCTCCCTTTTGCTTGGGGATCTCCAGAAGTGGATCCTCCTGTCCTCCCGAAGGAGCTGACTTCTATCCAGAAGCCCAGCTGCCCTTCCCACCACCTTGAACAGTTACTAGCTAGCTCAGATAGAGACTTCTGGTAGACCGGGATCCTTCATCTATGGGGAAATTGTCACAATATCCTGATTTTATTAGAAGACACTCTTCTGCCACCTGTCAGAATTTCATAATACAGATATACATATTCTATGCCCACAATGGAAATATGCTCCCTTGATTGTGCAGTGTACGTTCTACATAGCTGTACATGACAGATCTCAGTCCTAACTCTGTACCACCTCCCCCAAACTCTTATCATAGCTCCTAGACCCTGCCCAGTCTTCCCTCAGGGAAGTGAGGAGAGTTGAGGGGGGAAAGGGGAGCCTGGGCAACAGCAGAGCCTACCACTGACACCTCTTTTGGGCTTCCAGGGCTGGACAGACAGCCGGCTGCAGTGGGATGCTGAAGAATTTGGCAATATCAGTGTCCTGCGCCTGCCCCCTGACATGCTGTGGCTCCCAGAGATTGTGCTGGAGAACAAGTTGAGCCGCAGCCCTCCCTGGCTTCCCCTCCCCCGCTCTGACCCCCCAAACCCTGCCAATTCCAAGCTGGCTGGCATTGATGGTGACCCCTTGTCCTTGTCCCTCAGCAACGACGGCTCCTTCCAGATTTCCTACTCCTGCAACGTGCTCATCTACCCCTCGGGCTATGTGTACTGGCTGCCACCTGCCATCTTCCGCTCTTCCTGCCCCATCTCCGTCACCTACTTCCCCTTTGACTGGCAGAACTGCTCCCTCAAGTTCAGGTGCACCCACTTCTCCAGCCACCCTTCACCCTGGCCAGGGACTGAGAAAGGTCCTTGAAGCACTCTCGTGCAGAGGCCCCCGCTCCGTCCTGATGAGAGCTCCCTCACACCCCTGACGGCCCCTCTGACCATGAACCTCCTCTACTACTAGCCTTCTCCCACCCCCTGCCATCAGTGGCCGCGCCCAATGGCTGAGGACCCCCCTCTACTCACTGCCCTCCCCAGTTCCCTCAAGTACACAGCCAAGGAGATCACCCTGAGTCTGAAGCAAGAGGAGGAAGAGGGCCGCTTCTACCCTGTGGAGTGGATCATCATTGACCCCGAGGGCTTCACAGGTGCTGGGAGTAGCGGCTGTGGGTGGGCGGGGTGGGCGGGCCCCTCAGACACACATCCACAGATACGGTCACCCTGACACTGCCCGCCCCCCCCTCAGAGATGCACCTGCACACACACACACACACACACGCACACACCTGGAACATGGACCTACAGGCACACAGACTGACAGAGAGACACCGATGGACAGACACACACTGACCCACAGAGAAACATACACAGACATACTTACTGACACAAATCTAGCACACTGAAAGGAAAAGAAGTCCAACTGGAGGGACTGTGTCCCACAGGCAGAGACCGACAGGGCCACACTCCTTCTGCTGCCCAGGCCGGAAGACCCTCCTGGATCTGGACAGGGTCCCTGGGGATGGATGTGGCTGACAGATAAGAGGGGTCGTTAGTCTTCTGTTCTCAGGCAGCCCAGGGATATGGTTGCGGCTTTAGCGGGTACTCTACGGTTGTGTGTGCTGCCCCCTACCAACACCCCCCACCCCCATCTATGAGCGGGCTCAGATCTTCTAGGGGTCCCCCACCCCATGCTGCTGTCCATCACAGGAGACCAATGTCACACTAGTCCCAAGGCTACTCCATCCCCGAGGAGTGGAGGGGGAGGGATTGGTCTTACTCTTGCTGCATCATTATCTCTAAGACTTATTTGAACCATATTATGGCCTTAGCCTCTATATCTTCCAAGAAGAGGGGGAAACACTCCTAGAAGAGAATTTCTCCCTTGCAGATTGAAACCTCCATCCCAACCCCCCAGGGAGGGAAACCTGCAAACAGAACCCCAGCCGTCCTCCGCATGCCCCCTCTCCCCAGCCCCCAGTCCTGCCCTGAGCCCATCCCGTGCCCCCTTGCCCAACTTGACACCAAGGTGTCCTTCTGCCGCCCTCAGAGAATGGGGAGTGGGAGATAGTGCACCGGCCAGCTAGGATCAACATGGACCTCAGTGTCCCACTGGACAGTCCTGGCCGCCAGGACGTCTCCTTCTACCTCATCATCCGCCGCAAGCCCCTCTTCTACGTCATCAACATCCTGGTGCCCTGCGTGCTCATCTCCTTCATGATCAACCTAGTCTTCTACCTGCCGGCAGACAGTGAGCCTCAGAGCCCATCCCAGCCCCCAGCCGCCTGGGGCGCCTTTCCCACTCCCTGAGCCTCGGCCTCCCAACCCTCCCCTCCCTTCCTCCTGGGAGACACAAGGGGGTCACCACTTCCGGGGCTTCCTGCCCAGGGTCCAAGCAGGAGGGGCATGTGGCCAGCCAAAGGGAGGGTTTTGTGACACTGTCCAACATCCCCAAATGGACAGGGCCCCTGGGGAGTCCGTCTCTCTTGGACCTTGCTTCTGCTTCTCACAGTGGGGCTTCCCAAGGAAGTTCCCTAGAGAGAACCACAAGACTGTCCCTCTGTCAGAGCAGATATCAGGTCTGTCCTAGTCACCATGTATGACCACAGGCCTGGCACACAGAAGACCATCTGCTTGGAACCAGTGGGTGGCTGAAGGGATCTCTGGGAAGCCAGGCGTGGGGGCATGCAGCTGATGTTCTTTTGGTTCTAGAAGGGCATGTGTAATCTGTGCTCACTTGGTTTCGCAATAGTTTCAGAGTATTTACTAGAAGTAAGGCACAGTGAGTCCCAGGGACAAGTGTGATCCAGCCTCTGTTGCGGGCCGAGACTGTACTCTGCAGGTCTGAGAGCATGGCCTCCAGGGTAGGATAATGGGGGAAGCTTTCCTGGAAGAGGTGGTGCTTGAGCTGGAGATGGGATGGGACGCAGCTTCCAGGTAGAGAAGGGGCCCTGGGGCAGGGCTGTGGGCCTGTGACTGCAGTGGCCACCTCAGAGTGCTCAGGGGCTCCAATGGGAGGAGCTCGGCAGTGCTGGGCCGGGGGTCTCTGAGTGGAGGACTAGGAGTTGGGGAAATATGGGGGCTCTGAGGATGTCCTGGAGCTTTCTGTACAGGGGGACACACCAGACCTGTGATTTTTGGAGGGCTGAGTGGCAGCAAGCTGGCTACCAGTGAGACCTGGTGGTCACTGAGCCCCAGGCAGCATGATGAGCATTTAACACTCACTCTCTCACTTGGTCCTCACAACATTCCGCAGTTGTGAAAACTGAGGCACAGAGAGGTTAAGCTACTTGTCTAAGGTCACCCAGCAAGTAAGTGCCAGAGCCGGGATTTGAACCCATGTCCTCTAGCTCGGTACCCCCACAATGTTAATCAGGGTATGGTGGCTTTGTGACCAGTGGTGCAGGGGCCATGGTGAGACCCACTGGGCCCAAGACCAGAGGGAACAGCTGCTAAGTCCCAGGCTCCCCCAGGTGGCGAGAAGACGTCGATGGCCATCTCAGTGCTCCTGGCTCAGTCTGTCTTCCTGCTGCTCATCTCCAAGAGGCTGCCAGCCACATCCATCGCCATCCCCCTCATTGGCAAGTGAGTGATGTCTGTGCCATGCCACACACCCCCAGCCAGCCCCGCCCACCACGCCCTGCCACGCCCTGCCCCACCAGGGCTCCACAGTGAGTGTGTCCCTACAGATTCCTGCTCTTCGGCATGGTGCTGGTGACCATGGTTGTCGTGATCTGCGTCATCGTGCTCAACATCCACTTCCGCACCCCCAGCACGCACGTGCTGTCTGAGGGGGTCAAGAAGGTGAGGGCTCTCAGCCAAAAGCTGGAGACGGTCCAGCAGTCCCTTCACAGGAGAGCAGGGAAAGACCCCTGGCATGATTGCACGGGTACGCCGGCCCTGCGTGACCCAAGCGCCACGTGCTGCTACCCACGCCGAATGGTCGACTCTCCTGGCTGGCTGCTACTCAGAAGGATCCCGACCCAGAGGAGCACAAGCTGCACAGTCTCCTCTCTATGAAGTTCAAGGACAGGCAAAACCAGCCTTCAGCGATAGAAATTGGGAGGGGGTTTCCCAAGGGGGTGGGGGGAAGTGACAGGCGGAAGCACCAGGGATTGGGAACCCGTTGGAGATCTCCTCTGGGGAGTGTTTACATAGTTGACAGCATCTATAAAAATTCACCTAGCTCTACACTTCAGGGCTGCCCATTCTGCTGTATGTACCCTCTACCCTTGATGGAAAAGAAGGCGAGGAATGCGGGGATGGCATGCCCAGGAAGGGGTGTCCTTGCCTCTCAGCCGCTGCTCGCTGTTCTGGGAAGGTTGAGGGCTTGTTTGGTCATCAGTGTCTGGAGAAGAGCTCAGAGCATTGGAGGCCTTGTTCTTTTTTGTTTTGTGTATATAATTCATTTTGAACAAATGAGCTCCGCTTTGTGCTGTGGGCAATGAGGGACAGTTGGAAGCAAGCTAAGGGTCTGTCACTAGAGGATAGGGGGACTCCGGGACAGCATGCGACTCAGCAGTACTTTGTGGCAGTCAGGAATGGACTCACAGACATTTCAATGTGCCAAGGTGGCGCATGTCAGTAAAATAGCCTTCCTGTGTCCCCCATCCCCCCCACCCCCGACCTGCTGCAGCTCTTCCTGGAGACCCTGCCGGAACTCCTACACATGTCCCGCCCGGCGGACGATGGACCTGGCCCGGGGGCTCTGGTCCGGAGGAGCAGCTCCCTGGGCTACATTTCCAAGGCTGAGGAGTACTTCCTGCTCAAGTCCCGAAGTGACCTCATGTTTGAGAAGCAGTCCGAGCGCCACGGGCTGGCCCGGCGCCTCACCACCGCACGTGGGTCCCTGCCAGGGGGTTTGGGGGTGCAGCCCATCCATGGAAGGTGGGCTGGAGGCAGGCCTCATGCCCCCCTCTGGCCTGGTCTCCACAGGCCGGCTCCCTGCAGGCTCTGAGCAGGCCCATCAGGAGCTCTTGAGTGAGCTGAAGCCAGCCGTGGATGGGGCCAACTTCATTGTCAGCCACATGAGGGACCAGAACAATTACAATGAGGTGAGTAGCCACAGAGGGCCGATGCCTAGAGTGTATCCTGTCTTCAGGGGGCCTTGCTTCCCCTCAGAGACACGTACCCACTGAGAGGAAGGAGTTCACGGTGGGTGCAGACCCCGGGCCCCGCTGGGAGGCCGAGCCCCCATCTAGAACTCTCCAGCAGCTCACTGCACACAGTGTGCACCCAGGCATAGCCACAGGCACGTAGCTCCCTTAGGGTTCCTTCCTTTTCTTCTTCTTCTTTTTTTTTTTTTTTAATATTTTATTTGTTTATTTGACAGAGATCACAAGTAGGCAGAGAGGCAGGCAGAGAGAGAGGGGGAGGCAGGCACCCTGCTGAGCAGAGAGCCTGATGCAGGGCTCAATCCCAGGACCCTGGGATCATGACCTGAGCTGAAGGCAGAGGCTTAACCCACTGAGCCACCCAGGCACCCCTAGGGTTCCTTCTTTGTTGCCAGACCCGTCATTTTCTGTCCCTGCTCAACTCCAAGTCTGATGTTCTAGACATAAGCGACCGTTTAAAAGGCAGCCTTAGGTGGTCGTTCCATATTATATGATTTTTAAACTTCTCTCTTGAGAAAGGGGCCCTGTTTTCCAGTTCGCATAGGGGCCAGCATGGCGTTGAGAGGCTGGGAGGGTGGAGAGGGAGGCGAGGGGACGATGCAAACTTCCTCAGCTCCTTGAGAGAGACTGTTGGCACCCCAGCTCTTCTTCAGCTCCTGGAGCTCTGCAGTGGGGTGAGGAGGAGGGCTGTGGCCCCATTCTTGGTCTCCTGGACAGAGGGAACACACCAGCTTGTCACATCCACTGCTAGCCAGGGGCAACCCCCACAGATACACTGAGGCCATGCCTCTGTCACTGGGCCTGGGCTTGGGGTATAGGCCCATGGTTTGAGAGCCTTCCTCACCACCCTGTCTCTGCCCCCCTGCCCCCAGGAGAAAGACTGCTGGAACCGAGTGGCCCGCACAGTGGACCGACTCTGCCTGTTTGTGGTGACGCCCATCATGGTGGTGGGCACGGCCTGGATCTTCCTGCAAGGCGCCTACAACCAGCCTCCACCTCAGCCCTTCCCCGGGGACCCCTTCTCCTACCATGAGCGGGACAAGCGCTTCATCTAGAACAGGCCTGCCCTGCCCAGCTGGCCCAGCTCCCAGGCAGCGTCCGGAGGTGGGGGGCACAGGCGGAGGGAGGGCACTAGTCATATGGACAGGGATGTCTGACAGAGGACAAGCCCTTCCTGGGGAGGCCAACTTCTGACCCTGGGGCTTGAGTCCAGCTGGTGCTGCAAGGCTGGGGCAGGAAGAGCCCGGCTTTCCTGAGATTAGGGAAGGAAGGGGGAAGCCCCGCTCTTCAACCATGGGTCCTCTGCAGCTAAACACCACGGAGCCGCTAAGGAGGACTGAGAGTGGATACTGTCTGGGGGTCAGAGCATAACAATTTGTGGGGGGAAGGGGGGGCTGGCTCAGGCTGGGACCCTTCTGTGAGGAATGAGAAAGGCAGAGGCCTCTTCTTCCTCCCCTTCCCTAGGTGGGGGTAGAGCAGATAGGATCCTGTGCTCTCACTTCCCTGTTCCTCCAGCCACCCTCCTCTCCACAACCCCTCAACCTTGGGCTTCTGAGGCCCCAATGGGGGTTTTATGTGGGCACACCTCCCTCTCCAGACCTCTTAAGGAAAGAGGCTTTCAGCAGGGATGGGAGCCCCAGGATTGCAAAATGGCCTTCCCCAGACCTTTCTTTCTGCCTTGGTGACTTTGTGTGGGTCCCCCAGGGAAGCCAAGGACTAGGGTGGAAGGGCTAAGCTCAACACTCAAAAAGACCAAAGGTCAGCTTGTCAACCTCAGGTCACATGCACGATCCTAGAGCCCTAGAGCTCAGCCCTCCCCCAAGAAGTGTCTCCTCTTGGGCAACTTCTCTCCCCAAAGTAGGGTTTCCATACAATATTTGGGACATATTTTTACTAAAAAATTATTGTTTATCTGAAATTCAAACTTAACTGGGTATCTTGTTTTGTTTTGTTTTGAGGGGTGGCAGAGAAAGAAAAGAAAAAAAGAAAGCACAGAGCCCAATAGGGGCTCAGTCTCACCACCCGGAGATCATGACCTGAGCCAAAATCAAGAGTCAGAGGCTCAACAGACTGAGCCACCCAGGTGCCCAGAATCCTGTATTTTTATTTGCTAAATTTGACAACTCTATCCCAAAGGGAGCCCTCAACAATCCTGTCCCAAGGGCCAAAGGCCGAGGCTGCAGATGCTGGGAGACATGGTATCCTACCTCCAAGATGGCCCCAGCGATCCCCGCCTTCTGGTATTCATACCCTGTGTAGCGCACTCCCACAATGCACCGGGCTTGGTCTGTGTGACTGACAGAAGGAGGCGGAAGTGACGGTGTGTCGCTTCTGAGATTAGGCTCTATAAGACACTGCAGCACTCCCTGCCTCCCGCGCCATCACTCTTCGCTTTCAGCTGGATCTCTCACTCTGGGGAAGCCAGCTGGCATGGGAGCAATCCTGTGGGGAGGCCCACTTGACAAGGACCTGAGCCCCTCTGCCTGCAGCCCCATGAGTGACCTTGGAAGCAGATCCTCCAGCCCCAATGGGGCCTTCAGAGGAGATCGCCATCCAGGTCAACATCTTGGGTGCAGTCCCATGAGTTCCGGAGCCAGAGCCACCCAGCTAAGCTGCTCCTGGATTCCTGACCCCCAGAAACTGTGTGGAATAGCATATGATTTTTAAGAGACAAAGTTTGGGGAGTGCTTTGTTACACCAGAGGATGATCTGGGGTGAGCCACGCTCATCTCTTAGGTTCGGTTTTCTCATCAACAAAATGTGTAAGTTCCATTTGTGAGGTGTTGTGAAAATTGAATTTGCTAGTAGTCATAAAGGTCCTTCCTTACACATGTCCTGCAAATTTTCTTAATTTAAATTCAACTAATTAACATACAGTGTATTATTTGTTTCAGGGGTACAGGTCTGTGATTCATCAGTCTTATCTAACACCCAGTGCTCATTACCACAAATACCCTCCCCAGTGTCTATCACCCAGTTACCCCATCCCTTCACCCCCTTCCCCTCCAACAACCCTCAGTTTGTCTCCTGTGATTAAGAGTCTCTTATGGTTCCCGTCCTGCAAATTTAAGGGGTGGTCATTTAACTCATTCCTCAGTTGTGGGCCTGAGTCACAGAAGATGGGCCTGTGGACTCCTATGTCCGAGGCTGGCCGGGGGTCTGAGGGCATATGGGAGCAAACACAGAGAACCCAATTATTCTCCTCCTTGACGTACACACTAAAGGTTGTCACAGCTCAACCCATTTCCCTCAGAGGGAATTGGAGACCTCATTACCTCAGGTATACAAAAGGTGAGATTTTTAGTCTTTCAGTGGAAATGAACAAAAGGCAAACCTCTTTTTTTTTTTTACATGACTATAAAAACTTATATTCATTTATACTAGGATTTGGGCCCACTGCCACCAGGGAACGCAGTGCCCAGAAAAAGACAAACCTCTTAATGGCAAAACTGACCCTAGTTACTTCTGACTTCCAATATAAACTGTGCACAGATTCGAGGTACAAATCTTTATTTTTTTTTCCCCTCTGAATAGGGAAAGTAGCTTGGACTTACACCATCAGATGAGCAGGAAGTCTGGGACCTTCCTGGGGTCTTCCTCTATGAGGGAGTCCCCATCTTAAGCACCAAGAGACATCCTGGATCAGATCCCTCAGTCACTGTCCTTGCTTCTCTCTGCCACATGATGGCACTGTTGGCAACCTCCGGGTGAATCCTCTGCATCTTCCTGGCTCAGGTGGCCATGAACTTTCCCCCAAAAAGACAACCCCAAAATGCCACACCTGACCAAGAGTGCCCCATGCACAGGTTCCCAGGGTCACAGCAGGACCCCCAGCTGCACACATTCCTCCAGCACCGCGGCCCCAGGGCGCTGTCAGCACTGGTCCCCTCTCTGGGTGACAGGGAAACTCCCCAGGGAGTCACCCCCACAAGGGGCCCTACACAGGGTGTCCCTACACACTCTTTCCAGGCCATCAGCGCTACTCACTCTCCTTCAAACAGTGATGAATCTGAGGCATGCACTGGGCTGCTAGGAACAGAAACACAAAGAACGTGGTTCAAACCAATAAGGCTCCATCTTTATTCTATGATGAGATCACAAGGCAGCGGCTGCTACCTTGGCTCAGCGGTCCCACAAAGCTATTAGAGACCCAGGCTCTGGGATCTCTCCCCAGCAGCCCGGCCCTCATGCTTGTTGCCCCAGGGTGCAAGCAGACTGCCACTGATCCTCACTTCACATCTATGTTTAACACAGGAAAGGAGGAGCCAGTCATTTCTGACCCCTTTCATCAGGAAGCAAAGGCTCTTCCCTGAAGCCCTTCAGCTGACTTCTGTAGACATCCCACAGGTCAAGATGTTATCACGCAGCCATCCTTATTTGCAAGGGGGCCTGGGAAATGAACGTTCCAGCCTCCAGAAGAGAAGGTGACAAAGAGGGAGTAACTGTTAGACACAAATGAAGCCTGCAGAAGATTTTCTCTTAATGCTTCCACACACACCCCTTTAGCCCCTCCTGGCAGCGCCAGCCCTCCTCGAGTGACCCGCCCTCCTGAGAACACCAAGGACACTTGGCCTCTCTCCCACAGTAGGAAAGAAGGGGAAAAATCAGGAGTTGAAATCTCTTCATACATGGGGAAGTGGCATAATTCATACCAGAGGGAAGTCATGCTCCACAACCTTCCATTTCCCTCCCAGACACTTGTAGAGAAGGGGAAAGGGGAGGTCAGAAATGTTGGGGTGGGCCAGACCACCATGGCTGGGGGCAGTGTGTGGTTGGGGGAGAATAGGTGGTCCATTATTTAGCAGGAGCCATTAATGGGCATGCCAACATGTGGTCTTGGAGGGACTAGAGAGGGAGAGAGGTACTGCTCTGGGGAGCACCAAAGGGCAAACTGGGGAGAAGGGGAACTGGCTTTGTAAACTTCAGGGAAAGGGGGCTACATACCTAGATTCCCAGCGGCAAGAGTGATGCTTGGGAGTGGGGCCTGGAGCAGGACTGAGCACAAGGACAGAAGTGAATGACCGGGGAAGGCAGGTGTCACCACTGCTGTCCCCTCCGATCCCAAAGTCCTGGTGAGGACAGACAGGAGGGACTCGGGCTGTGGAGGCCTGGGGTCTGAGCCAACCTCACACAGATCTCCAAGGCGGAGTTCCAGCTCACTGACACACGCTGAAATGCTGCAGACATCATTTATTTGGAGGGAGGGGGACATGTAGCCCTTAGATGCCTCTACCACACTGTCCCCCAGGATGCCCATGGGTGGCTAGCACTTATAGAAACCTGCATTTTTTTTTTTTTTTTTTTTTTTTGCCCCTTGCAAACTTACTGGGACATCCTGAACTGTCTGCTGAATAAATGGTCAAAAGACAGGTAGCCTGAGCACATGGCCACAACTGGCAGAAGGACACTCAGCTCTTAGACCAGCCTCAGCCCCACCCTTCCCCTGACCTCAAACTACAAAGTGGATGGAGTGTGTTTTCCGGCCCTTTTAGGTTCCCCTCATCTGACTTTCTGGGGGCCACAACCTTGACCTTATCTACCTGTCCTACTGAGCAGTGACTTCCTGTGAGCCGCTCAGGCTTACCCCTGTCTTCCTCAAAATCCCCTGCTGCCCCCTTGGCCTGGGGCCTGTCACATGCTGGGGACTCCCTAAGTTTGTGGATAATTTTTTTTAATATTTTATTTATTTATTTTTGCGAAAGAGAGAGAGAGAGAGAGAGCACGTGTGCATCAGGGGAAGGGGCAGAGGGAGAAGCAGGCTCCCCGCTGAGCAGAGAGCCCAATGTGGGGCTCGATTCCAGGACCCTGAGATCGTGGTATGAGCCAAAGGCTGACGCTTAACCCACTGAGCCACCCAGGCGCCCAAGTTTGTAGATAATTTAAGAACTACTAAGGCCACACTGAGGGGCCCCTATTCAGCGGTTGTTCTAGTCCCAAGAACCCCCAAATTTCAGGTCTTCTTCAGCCCTCCTTCTTTCAAGGCTTACCAGTCCTATGTGCCGTGTCTCAGAGCCTGGGAGGATGCCCGAACTGGCACCCTAATTTGCATTAAGGT